AGCGCCGCAGCCTCTGCACACCGGGCGGGCAAGCGGACAGGGCTGCCGCGGTGTGGGCCGGCGCGGTTCCTTCCCAGGACCCTCTGCCTCCGGGCCTTGGAGAGGTCGGGGCCCAGGGGGGCGATCGTGAGAAGAGCTTTCCGGGGGACTGGCAGGCCCTGAGCTCCACGTAACGTCGTTTGGGGGAGTTTGGGGGTCCTTCTGGGCGCTGAAGTCAGCCTTCCGCCGCCGTGCGCACGCATCTCAATCAGCGGAACTCCCCGGAGGCCAGGGGTCTGCGCCCACCCGGGGAGGTGTGGAAAGGTGCTACAGCCTGCAGGACCCAGGCTGGTCCGCCCGACATCCCTCCCCCGAGCGAGTGAGGGAAGGGGAGTCTGCAAAGAGCCCTGGCCTGCCGGGCCCTGGGAATTTATGCTGGGGACAGCTGGTGGTAGACCCAGGGCCCTGTCCTCACAGCGAGCCCCCCACATTCTCAGCCTCCAGCGCCCGCACACCGCCTTCCCTGTGTCTGGGCCAGGCCGTGTGGAGGTCAACTTGGAAACCAAAACTGCCACCTTCTTAGAAGTGCCTCCTTTTAGAAAGCATTTGCATGGGTGCCATTGTTGTTTGATTTCTTAGCTGTAAGGTTCACAGGTCTCTTTTCTTCCACCTGTTTGATAACCTGGGTTCTAAAGAAAGTCCAGGCTTTTGTTGTTCGTTGGATTGTTTGTTGGAGGTGGCGCCCCAGAGTCACGGGGTGGCGAGGTGGAGACTGGAGACAGTCAGGTGTCCCATCAGGTGTCTTTTGTGCCCCAGGTCCAGCCTTCTCTGGGGAGCCTCCGTGCTCGCTTTAGGGATTGGAGTCCTTTTAGGGTCCCTCGTTTGTGGGATCTGCCCCTCTGGGGTTCAGAGTCTCAGGGGCGTGTTAGTGGTCTGCACCTGAACAGGTTCACCGAGGCCTGCAGACTTCACTTCGGACTCCCCTCTCCTGACTTTTCCTGCCCTACTGGCCCAGAGACCATCTTTAGGGCGCTGTGTGGATTGGGACAGGGAGAATGGGTCCTGAGGAATTGGGATTTGAGGCGAGCTAGGGCAGGGGCCTGTGTTTGGTGGCCAGGAGTGGAAGGGGAAGGCAGGGGTCTTCAGAGGGCTGGAGGGGTGGTGGCTGGGTGTGTAGTTCTGGCCGGTCTGGGACTCCCCAGGGACTCAGGCTATGCTGGCCCAGGGCCTGTAGCCCGAACTGTTGCTC